TTATATTGTATATCATAATTATATAATATATTATATAATAATATTTTTTTATTATATTAAATCTAATAATAAATATATATTATATTATTATTATACATATAATATTATAGTATAATATAATATAGTCGTAATTTTTAACTATCAACAGCAATTTGACCTCATAATTTATCAAACGCTATTACACTGATTTTAGAACCAGCACAGCTACTATAATTATAGTTTACCAAACACTCAGTTACTTTTTGTAACAGCTGTTTTTTCTTTCAGTACAACTAAAAGTAATTTTTTTAAAATCTACAGTAATACCAAACTAAGCCATAGTCTACTCCTTGAAACGAGGTCTCATAAGATCAAGCAAGGAAAAAATTTAAAAAAAAATTAAATAAAATAAAGAGTTCATGATTATAAGTCAAAGATACCGGCTAAAGACAGATAAAAAGGCCAAAAAGATCATGAGATTTGAAAAGCACAAGCAAAGCACCAAAATCAACAAAATATTTAAGGGGGTGTTTGGTATGAGGTAATCTCAAGGATGGAAATGAGAATCTAAAATATTTTCATGTTTGATATAATTATTAGATTTTTTTAAAACTTGAAAAAATGAAACCCGTGATCATTTTGGGGTAATCCTAAACCCACCTATTATGGTCTTATTTACTTTCCCATGAAAGTTTAATATCAGGAGCCCTAACCTCTCTCTCAGACTCTCACCCATCTATTCCCACGCCGCTGCCGACCACCAGAAATGCACCGCCGACCACGACGCTGCCAACCACCAGAAACGCACCACCGTTGCCGGACTTTTCTTGCCGCCGCCACCAGGTATGTTATTTTCTTGGTTTTTTTTCTTCTTTTTGAATCCGTATCAACCAGGGTATCTTCGTTTCTTTTTTTCTTCTTTTCTTACTGGACTTTTCTTGTTGAATCCATTATCTGTTATTGTTGAATCCGTATATGGTCCTACTAATGCTTGAAAAAAAGCCCATAAATGGAGTCCATTTAATGGAAGAAAAAAAAAAGAAAAAGGAAAAAATAGAGAGAAAATAGCTCCTTTTTTTTTGTTGACTCCGTTAATGATGTTGTTGTCTTAGGTTGTAATATTAGTGATAATTGTAATTCATTTAAAAATAAATATGTTTTTTAATACACAACATTCTCATACACAACCAAATACAATAATGTATTATTTTTGAGAATTTGAGATAAGATTCTTATAAGGAACCAACACAGTAATGTATTATTTTTAAAAATCATATTATTCTCCATCATTTTCCTAGAAATATGATTTATACTGATTACTGCGTACTAAACACACCCTAAGTAGCTAGGGAAAGCCTTGCATTATACGGCCGATCATTTTTAAGTTGCAGAAGGACGGAGAAGAATGCCACAAAACTAGGTTAGATGAAACTAATTAATTATGATGCGAGAAGCTTATTTATCTCCAACTAGTTAATTGCCCTCTCTAGAAGTATATGAAACTTGGTAAGTATCAACATGATACTTTAATGTCTATACATTGTTAGGTAGGAAAATATTTTATAGAAAAAATTATGAGTCATGACACAAACTCTACCTATTTAGGATATTTTCCTTAACTTATTTAGTTTTTAGATTTTTACCTCTTTGACCAATCTCTCTACTTTGACCAAGCTAGCATTTCAAGTGATCAAACTATCCTAATTTAATATTTCCCTATTCCTAGTCCAAACTCTAATAATAATTTAAACTACGATGTAAAGCTAATTAGCTCCATTTTCTAATTTACCTTTTAGAAGAGATCTTTTGTTTTCTTTGCTGCTAGTGTTACTTTATATGGTGGACCAATTAAGAGCAATTCCAAACTGAACAAATATTGCAGAAGCAAATTCATTTCATCATGAGTACAACTCAACAGGCCTTTATTTTTGGGCTAAGGAGGAGGTGCAGATCTGAGGGCCACACTCTTGTTGCCAAATATCTAGGGATCTATGTTTTTAGTTTTTTATTTTGTAATTTTGTGGTTTATTGTTGGATAAATATTGGTTTTGATTACTGTGGTTTTATTCATTCGATTTGCTTAGATTATTATTGAAATTTGCTTTTTTTTTTTCCTTCTTCTTCTTTTGAAATTACTTACGAGCTTGTGTTTGTATTTGCAACTTCTTGATTTTTTTTTAAAATCTATTTTTGGTGTGTTTATTGCAAATTAATCTGGTTAATCTACAAGATTTCTCTGGCAACCAGGGCCGAAGAAGAATGGTGATTTTTGTTTGAAAAGTAAGAATATTCTAGTAGATTATTGGTGTTAATCTATTAGATTACTTCAGTTAGCACCAACGATCGTGTGGAATAATACCAGTGATATTTGTTGATAAGCTCAAAATAATCTGGCGGATTACATAATCCAGTATAGATTAATCTTCGATGACTCTCGTTGAAGAAGAGTGGTAATATTTATTGAAAAAATCAAAATCATCTAGTAGATTATTGGTTTTAATCTTCTAGATTACACTTCAAAGATCGACGTCAACAATCGTGCTGTAGAAACCAACTATATTTGTTGTAAAAATCGAGTGGTATGTTATTAGTGGTAATCTACCAGATTACTCTCCAACAACGGTCACCGGCAACATCTAATAAGATACATATGATAATCGAGTAGATTATCTTTGGTCGATGGGGGTAGTTTCAGTAAGA